GCCCTGCACAAAGGCAAGGAAAAGCAAAGGAAAGGGAGGGCGAAGCTTCCTCTTCCAGTGCTGCATGGTCCCACTGCCCTAGTGAACCGTTTTCGAGCAGATTTTGCTTGTGATGGCTGCAGATGGAGAAAAAAAATCTATTTTCATGCCCTTAATTCTCGCACAATGTGTGCAGGTAGTTCAAAGCCTGTGCGTATCTGTCAGAGCTCATTTTCCACCTTCTCTCTGATGTCTCGGTGTATAATTTTCATCCTTCACACTTCCTTTTAGGATCTTAATTTGTATCTTTATTTGGGGTTGCCTTTAGAAGCAATCGTAGCACAGAGTGAGCATGTGGGAGCAGTCTGTCTATCTCTATCTAGATATTTATCACACATCCAGAGTGGCTATATTTAGAAGCATTGTATTTATATGGTGTTTCATTTCCCCTCTCTTTATGGCAGAGGCCCCTAAATATCACAGCCTGGGACTTCCCTCCTGCCCAAGGCATGTGCCAGGACACCTTTGATACTCCCTCTATTTTAACTCACTCTGTAATTACCTTCTGACCCTGAAAAGGAAAATTGCACCATTAATTACTCCAGGTAGGAGAATTTGTTTTAACACTGATGCTTTCAAGGTACGGGCCAGATGTGTTCACATGTGGAAGAAAGGAACCACTCTGCTGTGAAGTGTTTGTGTGGTAGATAGAGGGTGTCTTAGGAAAGCCCAAACACTCGCAGAGCGTGTTCTCAGAAACTGCTGCAAACTCCACAGGTTCTGCTGATGATCCTGCCTAAGAAGGGACAATCCCAGTTAATCAGCAGATCTCATACTAATTTTCTTGTTTCATTGGCCACAAAGCTTAGATTTTTCCCCGGCATTTGGATTTAAAAAGAACTGCCCTGCTTACAGAGAGGAATATTTTTGGACATAAAGGAAAACTGTTGTTTCCAGTGACAATGTTACTCTTGCTGTGATTAAGGTTCCAGAAGATGGGATCCTCAAGCTCAGATCTCTCTGGCTATGCTCCTCTTTGAGTGGTGTTTCCTCATCCCCTCTGGCCTCCAGAAATTACCCGAACTGCAAGTGCAGAGGAGATGTCTCCAGTGAGATGGTTTGGTTTAGTTGTTCCTACTCTGTGCTTCTGTCTGTTATGCCTCACATGGGCTTCTTGCCACATCTTCAGAACTTCACAATCCTTCCTCTCTTGGTACTTTCTCACATAACCTGCCCACACTGCCAGCCTTGGCCACCCGTACCTGTCCCCAGGTGATTGCGTCATGCTGTCTGGGACACTTCCCTGAGGTCCCAGACCTCCAAATATGTTGAAACGCCTCCCTCATGCTCAAGGAGTTGACTCAGCTGTCAGCACTAACACGAACAACTTGTTCTCTGTGTCTGCTGCCCGGGTCTCTCCGGTTCTCTCCCTTTGAGCTCCTGGGAGAAAGCGACCTCCCTCTTTTTTATCTGAGCCTTCTCTGCATGTCCCAGGACAGACTGGCTTTTATCAACGATAAGACCCTACCCAATGAAGTCTCTACTGAACTGGCTCTCTTCCAGCTGGCAAGTCCCCTTGCGTTGCCAGTGTTCCCCACAGTGTGACCTTGTTGTGAACCAGAATCCCTCAGCATGTCCTCTAGCCTGGGCACTGCTTCATACACCAGAGAGGAGAGAAACTGGAGTGATCTTGCTGGCCATCAACCCTCCGTAGTGATTCTGCTCTCCACTGGGGTGGCCCATTTGCCCCATGCAGCAAGGATCTTTGAGCAATAGCAGAAGTCCTGCCAGGAATCAGGTCATACTTGTTCCCTTTCCTCCCAGCTGGGCAAGACAAGCCCTGCGCTTGCAGGGCCTTTAACCGAGCAGTCAGATCCTGCTCTTAACCACTGGGGCAATAGATCAGTCAAACAGAGGTCTTGTTTCACAACGTCAAGTAGGGTTAATGCATTACAAGGCTCATTGACTTGATAACGTAGATGGAGGAAGGGAACAACATCCCGTCTCACTGCTCAGTAAGCAAGGAGGCAAATCCTGCTGTCTGGCATAGACAGTGCATAAAAGTCTCCCGGGACTCTGCTATTCTCATTCTACTGTCTTTCCTGTGTGTATTACCATGCACCTTAATATTTTTTTAATGATACTTTATAATGAGAACTGCTTTCAGGTTAGAAATCTAGCCATAAACTAGTCTGTAGCTGGAAGCAGATTTATGTATTCCACTGTGGGTCCTGAAGCGTGCTAATGAATGGCTAAAGATACTTCTGCTCTCCCCAAAACATCTTTGCCTATACCAGGTCCCCAGCCATATTTAAGCAGCATGAGTAATGAGGCAGGAGAGACAGTTCTTTCCAAATGCTTGGCTACCCCAAATCAAACCTACTGTGGAACAAAGAATAGGAAATGACAATAAACAACTGACCAGTTTTTTTTCCTCCTCCCTGTCAGCTGTTTCTTCTGTGTCCTGATCTCTTTTCTTCTATTACTCATGCAGATGCAAGCAAACAAGTAGAGCCGTCAATCAGACTACAAGCTAGGTCACTGCAAAGAGCAAGGGTTAATCCATTATTATATTGCAAAGGACAGGGCTCAGCGAAACGTGCCAGTGTTGAACATAGAGCTTTGTAACAGGCCACGGCAGCAATGGCATAAAAGGCTTGAGGTCTGCAGCACAAAGCAGSAGTAAAGCGTACAAACATGGGATACTAGGGCCTTTGGTCACTGGTGAGCCAGTCTCGCTGGAGACATGAACGGCAACTCTCAAGAATGCACTTGGACCATACGCAGATCTCCAAATGCTGTGGAGTTGGAAACATAACCTGGCCTGGGTGCAGCCACCATGGCTTGAAGATCTAGCGGTGCAAGCAAGGTGTGGAAGCACAGGTACCTCATGGTGATAGAGCGAGTTGTCCACACACTGCTGCCTGAGGGCATTGGTGTCTCCTCAGGASTAATTTTGAACCAAAGTATCGCTCCAAATGAGAATGTGTGCTGGTGTCTCTTGAGCTGTTCCTCGGGAGACTTTTGAAACCAATGGTCTGATGATTCTTGGCTGAAGCCTTCACAACAAGTTTGACAAGCTGTGGTAGGGGCAAAGGACAGATCAAGAGCAGTTTTTCACCCAAACTGTATTTTGTAGAGTCACTTGTACTTTGCAACTTCATACACCTTGATGTTAGAGCCTATGCAACTCCTTTATCCATGACCTTTTTTTTCCATTTGATTTCTACCCTCACCCTGGAGTCAGAAGAGGCTTTGGTGGGGTCATAGATGGTGGGGAAGTCTCACGCTAGGGGAAAGTGGCTTGGTTTCTTTCTGCCAGGGTTTGAATTTCCTCCAGAAAAGGCTGTGATCCTGGGAGTCCCTGTTCACATGCTTCGCCTGCTCTGAGTTAAGAGTTACAAACTGCAAGAGACATTTGGCAAGCTGAAGGCAGATCACAAAAAGCGTAGATCTAAAAATAGGGCGAGCGATTGAATGGATAAAGTCACACGCAGCTCTCCTAGCCACATCAATCGCACACTCTGTGTTTGCCAAGCAGATTAAAACGACATGTATACAAAACACGGGTAAGGAAAAATGGAAAATTTGCTATTTCAAAACAACATGCTTCCTGGAATCATGCATGTTTCATGTAACAATTAATGGAAACTGCTGTGCAAGTGTTACGACCCTGTATTGTTCCATTTCTTTTTACTTAGGGAGTCTGGATACTTAAGCCAGAGTGGGAAAGCCAAGGAACAGGATATCCTAAGGAGAAAGGAATCCTGCTCAGGTGAAATGGTGCAGCAGGGAACAGTGCTACGCCAGTGTGTTCTCAGGAATACACAGGTGAGGCTCSAGCAAGCTGGATATGGAGCAAGTCAGGACATCACCCAGCAGAAGGGAAAGAGTTGACCGTGGGAGCAGAGGTGACAAAGACAGYTCAGGTGTAAAGGGGATGTGAATCGCCAAATTTCCTTTTAATTTCCACCCTGCCATCCCACTGCAGACCCCTGAAATGTTGGCGGGATGAATCTGGGGCAGGATATAGCCCRGTGCTGACAGCTGGGAGCTGGCTGCAGTTATGCAGATAAGCCTCTCAGATAGGCTGGGCCGTGGCCTTGGGTCAGTGCTAGCAGCTAACCCGCAGGGAATGCRCTTCAGAGCAGCTGTACCTGCATCCAGGTTAAAGAGAAACAGATGAGCTGCTCTCCTAGCCCTGGGCACAGGCCTGTGGCTGTGGAGAGGAAATGGGGGTACCCAGTAAAATCCCTTAAAAACTGCACACTGGACCAGAGGAAAGAGAGGGGCTGAGACAGTTTTGTGAGATTGGTCTGGGCAGAACTGAGAGAGGAAAAGTCAAATGTAGGTCTGCAAGAGGGCAAATGCTGCAGGTCCCGTTGTCAAAACCCCTAAGCAATAAATGTKTGCAATTAGTAAGATTCTGATCACCTCTTCCCTTTGCATTCTCCTTCCTCGCTGTGCTTGGGGGTCTGCAAAGGCAGGGAGGGTTTAGCTCATGTTCTACCAGCCAGAGAGGCAGGAGGCTGAGGCAGTCCTGGAGACCRCATGGGAGAAGGACACTGGCCCAATACAGCCCAGGTAGCCCTCAGTCAGMCCCTATTCTGCAACAGCAGAATCAGGTTTCATTGTAATGAAGACCTTTTGCTCCATAGTATATATTTTGTAGAGTTATTCATCCTGTCATTAGTGGCAGCTTCTCCTCAGCGGTGCAGCAAATGAAACACTCGGGCCTGGAGGATGTTTTCATTGGCTTGGTCCCTAATAAATAACATCCCTATCACTTCTTCTGCTTCCTCAGCAACAGGTCTGAGCTGGCCTTGCAGCCCAGGATGCACATTGCTGTTGCTCTGATGTGTGTAAATAATCCCGGTTGCTGGTTTGGAGGGTTTATCACTGCTGAGTGATCTCACCTGAGTGTAGGATCTGGGTGAGGCTCTTGGGTTAGTTCAGCTGTGGGGTTTCCAGGGTCAYTCAGGTTTGAATCCAGCCCTCTGGAGACTCTCAGCTGAGATAGAGGGCAAGAGTGGACCTGCTTCTAGAGGGCCGGTCTGTAGGGTGATGTGGTGGTGAAGATCTTGCAGAGTCACCCCTCACAGGTACTCAGGTTAATTTTGGCATGAGGGTTCAGTAATTACTGTTGTTCATGGCTGCTCCCGCTGCCACAAATGGGAAAACTCCCATCCATTCTGGGACCAGGGCAGTTAGYACCCAGTGCTGTTAGCAGGAGACCTGGTGAAAATCAGTCTACCCTGTGCATGAGCCAACCTGCCCTTATAAGGCTCTGGAGATATAAAGGCAGAAAATTATTGCATTAGCAATAGCGAAGTCTGGCCTTGCGGATTAGTAAAATTCATAGTGATACTATGGATATTCAAGCAGTTATTTTTACCTCAAACCCTAAAATCTTACACAAAGAAAATTCAGATTTTCTTTCTACTTTCMTGGTGATAGACTTTCTTATTGTGTGTTTCTAGCAGAAATTGTCTTTTGGCATTGAAATACTTTGATTTGTCAGCCTGAATTTCTTTTTTCCTCGCCATTTTGCTTTGGCTCCTRGGAAGTGTAGACCAATTGTCTTTCCCTTCTCTGTGATGAGGGCTTTCTAGGTGAAACCTCCTTTCCCACCTTGCTCTGAAAGTCAAGTAATTCCCATAGTGAAAAATTTATAGGACATGTAGCCTTGCGGAAGAGTCCTATCTTCAGAGAGGACTTGAGCCCTGGAAGACAGTCCTTGTGCATCAGATGCATCAAGGGGAAATACTGTCAGATGATCTTAAGCTCATTTAATACCAAAACACGTCACGTTCAATGGCACATTCTTGATTAGATCAGAGTGACTGAAATGGAATAGTTCACGTGTATTTCCCTCATGTTAACTGGAAATATTTTATCAAAAGGAAAACTGGGGATTTTTTTGGAGAGAGACGTTTTTCCACAGAAAACCMTTTTGATGAGATACCCCTGACCTATTCTTATTTCTCTTATTTCCCTCCTCCACTTCTCCCTCCACCTCTATCCTCCCTGCTGGGCCGGCAGTGCGGCCGCAGACATGCGACAGAAGTGGCTCTAAACATCCATTTTCCTGCCCAAAGCACCAGCACTTCCCCTCAGCTTTTATTTCTCACTCTGCCCTTTAGAAAATGGCTAATCCCAAGTGTCTGGAGCTAACTCTCTGCTGTCATTAGCAGGTCCATGTCCACCAGTTGTGGAGGAGGCCACCAAGCTCGGAATTGCTCCTCCGCTTGCTGCGTGGTTGTCCATGTGCTCAGACACACGAGCTTTTCTAGACACATCATTTATTCTGCTGCGGGTCGGACACTGAACGTCCAGTATGTTCCACTGAACTCAAAGCGCGGAGTTGCAAGGTATTTAACTTTCCATCAGACATAAATTAAGTTTATTAAATCTAGGCTGTAAAAACACCAGTGGTTTTTCTAACAAAACGCAACGTTCATTCCCCAGACTCCACCCTCTAAATCAGGAGCTCCGGAGACCCAGTCCCGAGTTTCTCGTGGCCTCTGTGCACGGCGGTTTTGGCTGAACAAACATATCATTCTTCCCCAGGGCGGTGAGGTAAGAGCCCACCTCCTTCTTCCAGCTAAATTCCCACTGACAGGCAGACTTTCGGCTGCCTCCTTCAGCCCAAAGCACGCACGTGTGTTTGTGTTTTGCCACTTTGAAGAGAACATAACAGGGCTTATTTTATTAACAGCCAGTAGACTCTTCAAAGCAAAAATGTGCTGGAGAAATTAATCATTCTGCACCTCCAAAGTGAAATTTATGGTGGCTCCGAAACTGTGAGAAATGAACTGAAGGCTAAATGTTTGAATCAAAAATAAAACCGGGACTTCAATGACTTTATCATCACAGTATCTGTGACGGTAAAAATAAATGGCAGAGCTGTCTAATTTTCTTCATTTAAAGTTAAAATAATATGTTTATCTTAAGCGTCTCAATGGCCTGGGGAAAGTACTTCCCTTCAGCAGAAAAGATTTTGTCTGATAATACTTTCCCAGATCATTGAAAAGTTTTTTTCTTTCCCATTCTCCCTATTCTTTTTTTTTTTTTTTTTTTTTTTNTTTTTTTTTTTTTTTTTTTTTGTCTGAAAATCTAAATGAATTTCCTCCAAGGAAATGCCTACTTTTGTGCCTAACAGGGCAAAGAAGGCCATTGTCCAGGGAAAATGGCTCCAGTGGGAATGTGAGCGCAGGGACAGGGCATTAGCATTTGCTGAGTTGGGTTACAACTGGGATGGAGTTTCACCTAAGGGATTACATTTATAGACTTTCAGTGGAAATTTTTCCACAGTTCCTCCTAGCGAGCAATTCGCAGGCAGTAAAATGTGGCCRACTCGAGATGCAGATGGAAGACTGAACAGTTAAATAACTGTAGCTGCTCTGACCAGTGATTTTGGGAAGAGCACAAAACGCTCCACAGCTTCTTGCCCGCCTGACCGCTCAGACATGGAGCAGTTTGCATCTCCTTGCAGAGGGCAGGATCTTGCACCATCCCCATCCTGGCTGCACAAGTGTGCGTGAGCATTGGCCTCTCCAAGCCCTCATCTGCTCTAGTCTTTCAGGACTCATGCAGGTTCATCTCTGAGCGGATGCTGCAAGAAGCCACAGTGCTGTTCCCGGGGGCACAGGAACCCCAGAGTGTCAGTCCCACCAGTTCTGCCAGAGCTGCTTGTGATGGGGAATGAACCTGTGCTGAAAATGCTTGTGTGCTTTTCCAGACAGTTTGGGTGATAGCAGTGTGGTGGATCAGGTGCAGCATTTTCTCCTCCTCATTCACGACTAAAGCAGAGTGTTTTCCTCTATGGTGACATGAGAAGAGTTTGGTCCATCTGGGGCATGTGAGCAACAACTCCGTCTGCCCTGCTCCACGCCAGACTCCAAACTCCACAATTGCCGAGGACCATGGCCCAAGCTGGGGTCCTGCAGAATGCAAGATGCCCCCTGCTCTGTGCTCCAAGGATACCATTATCAGGAGATGGGACACCATGTGCAGGAGATAGGACCTCTGAAGAATAGTCCATCAAGGAGACAAGTCCAAGTCCAGGCAGGCATCAGTGGCTTTGCTATCACTAGCCAAGCACAAGGCATGTTGGTGAGTGAATCACTGGTGTTTAACATTTCTCTGTGATCACACACAGYCTGCATTTCATGGAGCAGGTGCTGGAGAAGCTCCTGCACCATCCTGCCACATCCGTGCTGCCAGCTCCTGCCCCGGCTGCAGCTCCCTGGGTCTGGGACAGCGGTTTCCCAGAYGTGCGACCACACAGTCTGCACCACCCTCGGCTTGTGGGGGCTCCCTACATCAGTCACAGAGAACAAAAACTGTCAGGGCACATGGAAAACAGGCCCTTAAGACTCTTATCAGACCCAGAGCAGTCTGGGAGCAGATGGTGATAGAAAAATAATATTTAACTTTCAAAACTCATAATAGATGCAGAAAGTTGGAACTAGTCCCTCCAGTTCTTTCTAGGTTCATAACTCTATTTCTGCTGATGAATACATCATATTTTTCTCAGTCTGTACAGCACCAAGATTCATACCAGGCAAAACAGCTTTGTCTTTCTGCTAAATCATTTGTGCACAAGATAGGCCCTTCTCCAAGGGTTGAGAAGACTCAGCTTCCCATAACACTTGTCTAATGTACTAATGTGTCTTGGAACACTTCTATTTTCTGTCCTCTCCTTGGCTTTATTTTCAAAAGCACAAAATCTTTGACTAGGAATAAATGACAGCTTTGCAGTGCTGGGATAAAGTGCCTGGGCAAAAACGTTACCGTGATCTGAAAGGGAAATTCAAACGTCAACATCAAATCCTTAGACACCTTTCAAAGAGTTTCCTGTTTTTCCAGTCCTTTAGGGCCCAGCAGCGAGTTCACGCAGAGATTGCTTGGCGCTTGCTCACCCGAGCAGGGCAGCTCGCCACGGGGACGCCGTGTTTGTGGGCAGCTCATCGGTGCTGCAAGCAGCAGGATTAGTAACGGGAAGGGAGCCGTGAGCCAGCCTCGTGCCTCCAGTCATGTCATTAAACAAAAGGGAACAGGGTCTTCAAATAAGGTGGGTGCTGATGGGTTCACGCTTCCTCCCAGCATCGCCCTGGCTGTTTTGGGGGACACTTGCAGCATCCAGGACTGCTCGTTGTCCCCGCTCAGCAAAAGCCTCCGCTGCAGCCCTTGCTCTCAGGGCTGTTCCCTTCTCTTCATGTGCTGTGGATGCACTCACTGCTGCTCAGGGGCCGTGGTCCTGTCAGCCCAAAGGGAGATTAAGTGATTGCTCAGGAATGTCTTTATCGCCATTCTGGGTAAATACAGATTAGAGAGAAAATGTTTTGCACGCAGCTGGGAGCTGCTGCTGCAAACACGAGGGAATAGGGCKCTGGGCAGGATCACACCAGTCGACTTCGAGAGGGCTGCTGCGAAATGGGAGGACGTGGGCTCATGGTGCCACCCRGGCACAGCGAGTCCAGCTGACAAAGTGACAAATTCATTGTGCCATCCCGTGGCAGCATCCCGTGGACCAGCAAGGCACAGYGCCAGTGCAGCCACGAGCAGGGGTGTCCCAGCTGGAGCTCACCCCGGTAGGGATGTGCTCCTTGCAGGACAGCGTTTGCCTTGCAGGTGAGCATCTCCACTCAAGCTGTGCTGCAAGTGTGGTGTATCCAAGTGCAATGTATCTGAAGTGCTGGCTATGATTGCTTTTTTGTTGTTGGGGTCTTTTTTGTTGTTTGTTTTTGGGTTTGGTTTTTTTTTTTTGGTAAATTCTTTTATTTCAAGAGATGGTTAATTCTAAGCATTGGGCCTTGAACCGTGATAGGGAAAAGCAAATCTGTGCACGTTACATTCTTGTAATCTTCAGGCATCTCTAACATATGACAGAAAGATGACAGAAACCTGAGTAGCCCCACAGAAACTTGAATATACCGTGGGAGCCCTCCTTGCCTCACCCTGACCAAAGGAAAGCAAYGTCATGGTCTCTTCCTTCAGTGCCCTGGTTGCAACAAGAGGTTGGGCCAACCTGAGTTTCATATCAAGCCTCTGTTGATTCCCCCTGCACTTTTGAGTGCAACTTTCTATATATTTCAGTGGCTGCCTTYTGCCTTGCTAGCAGGCCTTCAGAAACGTACAAATCAGAGTAAAATAAGGTCGTATTCATCACTGGTTATGAAAAATTACTCCATTCCCCCGAGAGAGAAGACTAAAATTTTCCGTCATTTGAGGTGTGGGCATTCCACAGAGCAGGTCTTGTTACCTGCTTGGATGGCGACCAGCTGATGTCTCATCACTGTTTACTCTATAAATATTGATTTCCCAACGGGAACAACTGATGTGCAGTACAGTCGAAGTTAAAGCAATGCTCAGGGGAAAGAAAAAAAAAATAGGAACACACACAGTGCTCACTTCTGCAGCATTCCCGAGACAAGGCTATATTTTTACCATCTGCAAACCCAGCTATATCTGCTGTGCTGAGCTATAACTGGAATCCTGACTCCCTCATTATGACCTCCCTTAGATAAACGAGCCAGCTTYTCTGGAGTATAATTTAAATTCTACCCAGTTCCATGGCTTTCCCAAGGAAGAAGATAACACCACAGTGCGTGACMCTGGATGAAAGTCTAACCCAGTTCTGCGTGAAGCTGCTGCGAGAGGTGGAACCTGCTATGCACGTGACAGTYTTTCCTAAAAGAGGGACCCCTGGGCAACCCCTTATAAACCTCCTCCATGATTTTAGCCTCCTCCTTCCTGCACACCAGTTTTCACTGGGAGCACTGAGCTTTCTCCCACATCTTCCTCCACTGGGTTCTGGTTTGATGCTCCCTTGGGTGCAGAACTTGGCTGCTCCAGCAGCACGGGATCTCCTCACCCAACGGTGTGCCCAGCTGCTCCTTCTCTGTCTGCTACCTCCAGCATTGCCAAGATGCCCCCAAAGTGTATGGCCATCCGTGACTGGACTCTGAATTTGTCATAGTTTTGTGCTTACCGGGTGGCAAGAGCTTCAGTGCCTCCAGGGGAGGGCCAGGAGGGCTTGACTATGACTCTTCCAATGAAACATGGAAGAGTCATAGTCAAGGCCCAGCCCTCTGCGTGCTGAATGAGAGTTGCATCAATCTGCAACAGAAACTCAGTGTAGGTGTAAATCCACATTGTGTTCATGTTATTTCCTGAGCTGAAAGGTGTCACAAAGGCTCTCCAAGCTGCCCAGGGGATCCCACTGGACTCAGGGCCACATTGTCCCCCAGGCAACACGTCCACCCCACCGGAAGAGTTACCAGCCTTGGTCTCACCACCCTGGTGAGCACAACACGCACTGCCTCCCTTATCACTCTTCAGGGGAGGTTTCTCTCCTGCCAGGATGTCCTAATGCTGCATAAATGAATAATATGCTCCTTTTGTAGTGTATTTAACAATATCATTTCCACACCCTCCGTCTTCAACGGGAGATACCTGAAAGCAGGAAAACGCCAGGCTTTGCTATTCCGCCGAGGACTGTTAACAACAGAAACGTTTATCTGTTCCGCGGTATCTGTTAACGGGATTCAATTAGGCTGCCAGAAATGATAAGCATTTAGAGGGACATCAGCCATCACTGCTCGCCACCAAACAAAATCATTGTCAGCTCGGGCGGCCGTAAATCACAGTGATTGTATTTGCGGAGCGCTCCGCGCTGTAACTCACTGCCGGGATTAAGTCAACTTCCCTCTGGGCCCTGTTGTACCTGCTAGGCCAAAGTAGCTGTCTTACGCTGCTGGGACGCAAGAAAGGAGCGTTTTGGCATTCACAGGAAGGCCTGTTTTCCCCACAAACACCATGCAAAAAGAAAGCTTGATCTGACAGATCAAGATTGCAAGCAGGAGGTGGGTAGCAAATTGGGTTTTCTATTTCTAGGGAGATTAAAAAAAACACAAAAAAAAACCCACAAAAAACCTACACATACTTGTTTTCAAATCAAATT